GCTGAGAGATGTCACTGTCAGGGAGATGCTTCAGGAATTCGTCAGGCTCACTTTTTAGAGAATTAGACTTGGCAGGCGTCAACAGCATTGAAGTCCCCTCTCACTACTGTAGTTTGTGTGCCAGTCCCAGAGTCTGTGACGGGGCGATGTGCAGCTTTTTAGGCTGTTGGAGTCACGCAGCTACAGTAATGACATTTCTGTCTCTTTATCCTTCATCTATTTTCTGTCTGCCGTGCTTTTGACCTCAGGGTCTTGTTTGTGCATACAGGTGTACGTTTTTGACATTTTTTTGGTTTTTCTGTTGCACCTGGCATTTGAAAAAATGTCATCTACCATAATGGTTCAGTGAAGGCCGCACAGTCGGACAGCCTGGGTCTGAATCCCCGCTTCCCCCACCGCCCAGTGACCTCTGCGCGTTTCTTACCTTCCCTGCCTTGGGTTTCTGTTTTGTTTTCCTGTGAATAAAACAGGGATGGTAGTAGTATCTACTTTACAGGGCCGCTGTGAAGAGCACAGTAAATACACGTAACTTACTTAGCACACGGTAACTGGATCAAGCGCTCCACATGTATTGGCTGTTGTTGCTGTTGACGTTATTTTAAACAAGGCATGTCACTCTTCAGCCACTATGCCCGTCTCATCAAGTCTCATGGGACCCTTGTGAGAGCATATTAGTTTTAGTACATCGTACTTGATTTTTTGTTGTTATTAACATCTACGGATGACTGGGATTGTATTCCACTTGGGAAGTGTTTGTTTTTAATCTTCCATGGCTTTTTGCAGGTAATGTGGGCATCTTTTGAAACTCACGCAGGCCCAGCTCCAGGGCCACCCGCCCCAGCACCCCTGCCCTGCAGCGCACCCAGTCTAGGATGAGGGAGTCGGTGGGGAGGATAAGCGGGAGCCTCTGCAGCTGAACACATATGATGCACTGTGAACCGCAGTCTAGTCGCGGTAGAAATCAAGTCCTGTGGGCACAGAAGGGAATTGTTAGGTTCGTTTTCAGCAGAGGAAACAGCATGAACCAAGGCCCAGAAACTTAACAGTGTCTGAAGCAAGTGAAGGACAAAACGTGACGAGTGGGTCGGGGCTGAATGGTAACGGGCCTTGAGAACCTGCCGAAGACTTGCAGTGGCGAGCTCCGGAGCTTTCAAGACGGAGACGTAGCATCAGAGTTGTGCTTTACAAAGAACAGTGACTACAGGGGAAGGGTTGGGAGGGGGAAAGCCTGGAGGCAGGCAGGCAGGCCTAGAAGGTGAGAAGAGTGGGGGTGAAAGGTGACACGAGGGGCGTTTGGGTTCACATCGAGTCATTCATTGTGCACCAGTCACGTGTCAGATCCTGGGCCAGGTTCTGGGTCACAGGTGCTGAGAACATCGCCTTTGAAAAAAAGGCTTTTGCTTACAGTTCCCAAGAGGAGGGCACATACCTCACCGTGCAGGACCACACGGGGAAGCAGCAGGTAGGTCGGGATGCAGAAGGAGAGAGGGGAAGGTGTGGGCAGAGCTCTAACTGTGCCTTTTCATGAGGAAACAGTGGATGAGACAGGATGGGTAAGCTGAGCAAGTTTGGGGTTGGACAGTTTGAATAATCTGCAGCGGGCTCTCGGTTCCTAGTGGTCAGGTACCAGACCCTGGCATGAATTTGGGCAGAGAAATAGTGTCCTGGACAGCAGGAGCCTGATGAAAGGCAGCCCACGGCGGGTGTGGACTCGACACTGGTTGGAGTGCATATCAAAGGTGTGCTCGTGGGCAAGGCATTTACTCTTTCAGGTGTTAGCTAACCTTGGGAGGGGGCGGTCTCTCCTAGGGTCTGCAAGGCCCCAAGCTGGCAACATATCATAAAACACAGGAAGTAAACATAGTTGATACCCAGCAACATCTGTTATCCCTTCTGCATTTATGGAACCCATGTGTTGTTGGGGGTGACGATGCACAGAGCCAAAATACTGTCTCTCTGTTCTCCTTTGCAGTTAAGGATTGCTAAGGGGGTACAGGCAGAAGTCATTTGGTGGTGCTTCCAGGAAAGTTCCTTAAATCAGCAGTCCCTCACCCTTTTTGGCACCAGAGACCAGTGCTCCTATGTAAATCTAATGCCTGATCTGAGGTGTAGCTGAGGCGGAGATGCTAGCGTTGGGGAGCAGCTGCAGACACAGATGAAGCTTCACTCGCTCACCCGCCGCTCACCTCCTGCTGTACGGCCTGGTTCCTAACAGGCCATAGACCAGTACAGGTCCGTGGCTTCGTGGTTAAGGACCCCTTTCTTAAATGAGCTGTTGGAAGGCTCATCCTTTGTGCTTCTTTGGACTCTCATCTGACATTTGTTTATCTGAAATGTGTTCACGATGACTTGAATCTCCAGTAGCCATCTTGGACCATGAGATGATCTTCAGGATGAAGACAGAGGAAGCTGGGATCTGTGATGACCATGGAACCACCATACCAGTCCTGGGCAGTCTACCTCTGGATTTCTTTGGGAAGCACAATAAATCTCTACCTTGTTTAAGCCACTTATTTGTGCTTTGCTGTTAAACCCAATCCTTACTAATGTATACATTCTTACCTTTATCTACACAATCACCTCTTTACTCTTATCCTTTCTCTTAGACGACCTTCCATTGCAGGCAGAAGTACAGTCTGACCTCTGCTCCCACAGTCCTTCAGGATTTTAACCTACACCTCATTCTAAGTTTGGGGAGGGAACCAGGACATAAAATGTAACAAAATCTTAGCAATTAGCCTTAAAAAGAATAAATACAGGCATATTTTTTTTCATCAGTTTAGTTTTACTAGTAATCCATAATGAGGACCCTTAATTAATAGCTCCCTGTCCAATAAAGGAGCACTTAGGTAAAGAACATAATTTTCCATATGCTTCCCCTGGCAGACTAGATAATATAGAGTGAGGAGCTTCCCATTGCAAAATAACTAGATCCTAAGTACAACGTAGTTTTTACTGTATCATTGGTGTTTTAGTTGAGGTTGCCCAGAAGTTTTGGGAGAACAGGTCGAGTCGATTCTGAAGATGTATTGATAAAGACAACGTACTTTTGAAGAGGAAGGCTGAGATGGGGGACTTGTTCTGCCGGTTGGCAAGACTTTTTTTTTTTTTTTTTTTTTTAATAAAGCTATAAGTGATAAATGAAGTATATAGTGGATGCAGGAATAAACAAAAAGAATAGTGGTGTAGAATAGAGAACCCAGAAACAGACCTTTCATACATGGAAATGCAATATGGTAAAAGTGGCATTATAGTTCACTGGGTAAAGTATAGATTATTCAGTAAATCATGCTGGGAAAGTTTATTATCCATTAAGAAAAAAATGAACTTGGTCTCTGCCCTACACCTTATGCAAAAATGAATTCTTGGTTACTCAAAGACTTATTTATGAAAAGGAAAACTTTAAAAATTTTGGAAGAAAATTTAAGATGATATCTATGATTTAAGGGCATGGAAGTTTTTTTTTAAACAAAAATGTAAACAGAAAATAGTGATCAATTTAACTGTTAAGAATAGCCGTTTATCAAAAGCCATCAAAACAGCAAAATAACAAGTCACAGACTGGGAGAGAAGATATTTGCGATAATATAACTAAAATTCCATCTAGAATATGTAAAGGCCTACAGAGCGATAAAAATGACAGCTTAGAAAAATGGGCAAAGACATAGAGGCATTTCACAAAGAAGGAAATATAAATGATCCATTAATACAGGAAAAGGTGGTCGACTTCATCAATAATCAAGGAAATGCAAACCAGAAACTGCAGTGAAATTTCATTTTAAGCCCTCCACACCAGCAAATTTCAATACATTTGCTAGAACAAAGTGCGGGGGAAGATGTTGTAGACCAAAGGGAACTCTTAGGAACTGGTGGAGGAGCATAAATTGGCACTTCATTTTGAGAAAACATTTTGTCATTGACTTGTAGTGTTGAGATTTCCCCCAGTTATTCCACCTTTAAGGCACACCCTGTAGGAAACATGCCCAAGGGTGTTCATAGCAAAAGTGTCCGTAATAGTGCAAAACTAGAAACAACCCAAAGGTTCATCGACAGAGAATGGATAAATAAACGCTCACACAGTGGAATGCTATACAGCGCTGTGATGTTGTAACAGGAATAACTTCAAAACGTAAAGTTGAGTCCACCTTACAGAAGATATTTGCCTAGCATGTTATTTTTATAAAGATTAAAGTCAAACAAGTAAGCGATATGTTTATGGATAGGCATCTGTATGCTAAAACTTCAAAAAGAGGGGGAATGATAAATTCAAGATGAGTTACCATAGGAAACTGTGGGAAGGCACAGCGGGTAAGATGAAGCACACAGGTGTATGCCACAGTACTAGTGTGTTTTACTCCTTAAGTTAGGGGGCGGGGTTATGGGTTCTTTGTTTGCTTTACGACTTACATATATGTTGCATGTATTTCTAAATGTATTAAATATTACATTAAACAAATAGAAGTTTTCATAAAAATATTTCAAGTATAGGTAACGTATACTGCAATGACCCTATTAATGCTGATGTTAGTAATAGCTTACAGTTAAAGAACACTCCTGCCTTATACATTTGCATAGGCACTATTATTTAATCACCATAACAACTCTATAAGATAAGTACTATCATTATGACTGAGGTTTAGGGACATTAACTTGCCTAAGGTCTCAAAACTAATGAGCCATAGCACTTAGGTCTGACTCCAGAACCCAGGCCCTTAAACCATGAATTCGTATTGACCATCTGGTCCCTCCTCATTTCATTTATTGGGAACCTGAGTGTCAGAAAGTTCAAGAAATTTGCCTAATGTCACATACTTAGCTTCAAGCATTCCTGTTCCTTAACTCAGACTACGAAATACTGTAAAATTGATCTTGAGTCCTGGTACATGCAAGAGGATATGCAGAAGAGATTACATTACAATATAATGTAAGGAGTTTATATTTTGTTGTAGTTGCACTGGGAAGCCATTGAAGTGTTTTAAGTGATGGAGCGAAACGATCTCATTTGCATTTACATTTATATTTAAGAAGGTCATTCCTGTAGCTATATGGAGAATCTGTAATAGGAGAAAATATTAGAAGTGAGGAAGTGGGTTAGGAGAACAATGAGTAGTTGATGAGAGGTCATGGTAGCTTGCACCAGGATGGAGACAGTAGCAATGGAAAATTCAAGCTGTGCTTTGGAATTAGAAAGGATAAGTTATTGATGAATCGATGTGAGATCATAGGAAAGAATCAAATGAATTCTTAGGTGGTGCCTGATTTGAATAACTGGGTGAATGACGTTCGTATTTACTGAAATAGGGAAGATTGGGGGTGAGAGAGAGGGGTTTGTTTTTTTTTTTAATGAGGATAAATTAAGAATTTTTTTGGGATATGTTAAATTGGAAATGTCTATAATACAGCCAAGTAAAGAAGTCAGATAAGTCAATGGATATGGGAATGTAGAGCTCAAGAGAGTGGTCTGGTGTGAAGATACACATTTTGAAATTATCGACACGTGGATAGCATTAAAATAATGAACATAATACAAACTGATTGGCAGAAGTTCTGGTGTGAAAATGGCATTTATAAATTAAACAAGTTTCCTTTTCCCCTTGACACTCACCCCAGAACCCCAGGGAGAATGAGAAACAAATGTATGTTAGATCTTTGATGAATCTAAGAGACAACTAAAACTCCAAACCACAAAAGAGGTAGAAGGACTGTGTATCATTCAAAGTCCAGTTGGGAAAATGGAAACCAATGTATAGGTATTCAAACGGTTGGAATTTAGTGTGAGAGATCACTTATAAAAGTGGGAAGAGGAGAAGGGAGAAGGAAGGGGTACTGCAGGAGCAAAAAGGAAGATGGGTTACACTCAGAAACGGATAATGTCGCTCGGCTGGAGTCTGAGCCTGCACCTGCTGCTGCATTGCTGGAGGAGTGTTTATAAGTCATGTCTGCTGTGGCGAAGCTATATGGCCTTGGCCAGGGTTAGCGACACTGAATAGATGGTTTCATCCAGTCCCTGCAGTCTAGCCATTGATCCTTTCCATAATCAAAAGAACTGCCACCAAGTGTCACATCGTTGGAGCAAGAAGCAGAATTTTTCTCTCGTTCTCCTTCCTTCTCATCTGCCAGTTTTCATACTGGCAGACACTACTGAGAGCAAGGCATCTGGAAAGGAAGTCTGGGAAATGGTCTGTAGAATCCCAGCCGCCATGGAATAGGGCAGAGTAGGGGGTTTGGGCTCGAGAGACAGTGAGTGAATAACGAACAGGCTGCCAAAACCGGTGGTGACCACATTGATCTGGGATTTGATTTCACCTTATTTACAAGCTAATGAGTTAGCCTACCACCGTTTCATGGATGCTAGCAGAAGACATGGAACTTCGGGGTCAGCGAAAGATGATCATATTCAGAGCACGGCAGCATGAACATCAGCATGTTTGCATAAGTTCCTGTGTCTGCAAGTCCCACGGGGGCAATGCAGGAGTCTAGATGGATTTCATGATGGAGAGGTATACTGCTTTCATAGCAAGGAATAAGCAAGGCTGCTTTTTGTCCCAGAAGGGCACATTACCTCATCCTTTGAGGTTGCTTGCTGCAAACGGAACCCTAAAAGGTGGCCCAGGTGACGAGTAGTCAGGGCCTCACGTATTTAGCACACCCAGGAAGGTGTGTGGGAGCGTGGGAAACCCCGGGAGGACTGTCTCTCCCCAGTATCCGGTCAGAAGTGACTGGATGGACGTTTTGGGGTAACGTTTTGACAGGTTAGGGCCTGTAGCTGGTGTATTGGTGCGGTGGTATCATGTTGAAAACATCTGGATGACAGACATTCGTTCTGTTTTTGTAAAACAATGTTTGAGGGATGAAACCGGAGGTGATAAGTGAGGCCTGTGCTCATTCTGAATGGAGCGTATCCTGCAGTGCCCTGCGATGGGATCATATCCAGTGCAAGGCCAGGATCGATGATGCGCCTCATCCGCACCAGCCAGGGGCGGGATGCGCGCATGCTTGTACGGTTTGAGGGTGAGCCTTCAGGGCTCGGATGAGATGCTCATCACGCGGACGTGTTCCTTGCCATTGTGCACTCTCTGATAAGGATCCTAAGGGACCTGGAAGCCTGCACTCTATTTATCATCATGCCTACTGTGCTTTTTCGTATACCTGTCCCCGAAGCGAGCACCGTGGTACATATTGTTGATCTCTCTGCTGTGTACTTTCTTCTGTGCTGTCTTTCGTCTGTGTTCTTCAGATTAGTGAACCTAGGTTTGTATTAACAGTTATCTGTGACTCATTTTGATGTCTGAATGATGCAAAGACCTGGACCATTATGTCTAAGTCTCTGTGGAGAAATGGCAGAGTCATGAAGGGGTGGGGATGACACCGGAATGCCTTGGTAGTCTGCTGACTTGGAGTTTGAGATTTATTCTCCCTGCTCATGGTCTTCAGGGTTGCCCAAGTGAAAAATCTCAGCTCCTGTCAGGAGGTTCCTTACACGCAGCATACCCTGTCCTCCTCTCTGTTTATGGTTCCTCTAGACTCTACATTTTGTAAATAGTCATCCTTTTTAAAAAATCTCTTTTTAAAACTCTTCTAGAATTGCTCAGTTTATGCTAATTGTTTCTTGTCAGGGTCCTGAGTGATACTTTGGTTTTTTTTTATTCAAAAGAACAGTTGAGAGCAAGAACATGATGTCTCAGTCTTCCTAGATGTCTACAGCCTGGGGCGAAAGATCCAAAGGCCCCAAAGCATGGCGGGGGTGTCGATCCCTCCAATAAACCATGTTTAGAGCTGCAGGCTTTAATGAATTAGACTTGGAATATAAATAGTTATTTTGGTGGGTAATGGTCAGCATACATTGTAGAAGCACCCATTATTAATGCTGGGATATTTATTCATAGGATGATAGCTTTAGTATTTATGTTAAAAAATGGAATGATATAACTGGGCAATGTTAATGATGGTATCCAACAAAGTCTTTTCAGAAATTGAACTCTGGTCACCGGCTAATGTGGTGTACATGGAAACACACTGTCTTGGGAAATAACCAGAAGACAAGAAAGAAAAATTATAGTTAACCCTAAATTGCTCAATGATGACTTATAAAAAGGTACAAGTTCTAACTTTGGAAGGGGTAAAAATAATTGGGTTAGTAAAAAAGTATAATCAAACATAAATGGTATGTGAAATGCATTCTGATATATTGTATATTCAGAACTTCCTCCTCACTGCATAATTCTAATGCATGTATAGGAGAATCTTATTAGTGTATTTTTTCTCATGAGGGGATGTAAATGATGTTATAAAAACAAAAATCAGTCATGAGAGAAAACTGAACAGGGTTGGTGGCAGGTTGTGGGATCAGCCCTATGACCTCTCTAGGATCCTGTTCCAGGGCACAGCTGGGAACTGGCCTTGTCTGATTCTGCAGCACGGAGTTCAGGAAGAATTTGGGGCCAGGTCGTTATGTCAGCCTGAGACAGCTAAGGGAGACTGAGGAGGACTGTGTTTATGCCCGAGTATACTCCACAGTGCCCTGAAATCATGTTGTACTCCATGGAATGCCAAGATTGATGAGGTTCACCTGGCTGGGGTGAGTGGCATGTGTCCTGGGCATCTGTCCGGAAAAGACTACGTATCATTCATCCCGATTTATCATCTGCCACTCTGTGAGGTCCTTCCAAAGGGACCTAAAAGCATAGCCCTCTGCCTGCCATTGGATGACTCGCTGAACTCTCTGCTCTGTATCTTGATGGCACTGGTTTCTCACCATCCTCCATATTGGTGTTTTTAAACAACATTTATCACAACTCCTCAGTAGGTTGTAACATCAAGTTTGTGATATGCAAGCGTCACTGAAAGAAATACAATAGGATAGAAAATAGCAGAGGGCCACACAAGTAGAAAGCAGAAATACGGTTTTGTGAAATCTTTGTGTTCCAACAAACACGCATTATATATATATCACATATATTTAGATTGTAATATGTTTTCTATATGGTGACATACAGACGCATACATACATAAAAGGCATATAAAAAGTACTTCACTGCTGGTCATGGTCAAAATTTGTAAGGCGCTGTTTTGTTTTAGGTAAATAAGCCTTTGGTTGACAAGTGATATCTGTGTATAAACCCCGCCGGCTTAACCACTGCTGACTTGTCAGTATAGTGGTCATGCGCTCTGAAAAAATTGGTATTGTGAGTAGCTTACGTGCTGTACTTCGTCGTTGTCATCGTCGGGTGTTCAGAGGGTCAAGGAGTCCTGATGCTGTGTTCCCGGGGGAAGAACTTGGGCCCCTCAAGCAAGGCGTACTCCTGTCTCGGAGGCGTACTGTTTGGCTCTCGTCCAGGACCAGTGGCACTCACGGAACCTTTCCTGCTTCATGCACTTCAGCCTCCCTCCAGGTGACATTGGTAGTGCCTTCTGGTGGAATTCTGGTATTTTCCCCTTTCAGTGTGTGTTCCTGAGTCCTCCCTCCCTCTTGATTGTGCACGTGACTCTTCTGGTGACACTCACCTTTCTGTTCTGTGGCTCAGAACTCTACTCCCTGTGAAACTGAGTCCAAGTCTTCCATCTTCTTTGCGATTCCGACAGCTTCCTGTTCTGTGTGACACTAGACACTCTATTTGCATTTTAGCAAAGAGCTGCTGAATTTCGATCATAGATGGAACGCGATAATCCATGTCATCTGTGAAGAGGACAGACTGACTTGAAAGAGCCAGAGAGGGTTCAGCAAATTTGCTCTACCGCGGTCTAAATTGGAAAGAGACCAGAGACAGGTACAGTAAAGCAGCAGGTAGAGGTGACAGAGTCACAGGGAGAAATTTCAAATCAGCGAGGGGATTGTACACCCACAGAAAGAACAAGGACTGCGTCTGCCTGACAGCGGGCATGGCGGGACTCACAGAGTGGGTATTTCTGGTCTTGTCTGCCACTCAGTTCTCTCTGGGAATGCTGGGGAATGGTTTCATCGGGGTGGTCAACGGCAGCGGCTGGTTCAAGAGCAGGAGAATCTCTTTGTCTGACTTTATCACCACTAACCTGGCTCTCTCCAGGATTGCTCTGCTGTGGATTCTCATGTCTGATGCTGTCATACTGGTGTTCTTTCCCAAAGCACATGATGAAGGGGTGGTCATGCAAGTGATTGATATTTTCTGGGCATTTACAAACCATCTGAGCATTTGGCTTGCCACCTGTCTCGGTGTCTTCTACTGCCTGAAAATCACCAGTTTCTCCCACCCCACCTTCCTCTGGCTCAAGTGGAGAGTTCACAGCGTGGTTGTGTGGATGCTGCTGGCTGCGCTGCTCCTATCGTGTGGCAGTGCCGTGTCTCTGATTCACAATTTTAAGGTCTATTCTGCCCTCTGTGGAATCAATGGCACAGGGAATGTGACTGAGCACTTTAGAAAACTAATGAACGAGTACCAAGTGACCCATGTTCTTGGCACCCTGTGGAACCTCCCGCCCCTCATCATGTGTCTGGCCTCCTACATTGTGCTCATCCTCTCCCTGGGGAGGCACGGGCGGCGGATGCAGCACAACAGCGCCAGCTCCAGCGATGCCAGCACTGAGGCCCACAAGAGGGCCACTAAAATGATGCTCTCCTTCCTCTTCCTCTTCCTGCTTTACTTTCTTGCCTTTTTAATTACAACATCCAGTTATTTCCTACCAGGAACTAAGATGACTCAGATGATTGGAGAACTAATTACAATGATTTATCCTGCCAGCCACTCATTTGTCTTCATTCTGGGCAACAGCAAGCTGAAGCAGACATTTGTGGAGATGCTGTGGTGTGAGTCTGGTCGTCTGAAGTCTGGATCCAAGAGACCCTTTTCCCCATAGAACAGCAGAGGGGGCCGGAGGGAGCCAGGGCGTCCTTCCGCCTGGCTCAAGACCGCAGGGCGCTTCCTGACCCTCCCGTGACACCAGTCCTGTAACATCGGTAGGAAAGAGACGCTGCTGCTTTGCCCTGTCTCACCTGGGGACGCGTCTCGTGGCCTCTCTTGGTGCGGTTGTGTAGGAGAGGGTGAAACGGTCTTTGGAAAATGTCCGTATAGTAAAAACGCTCTCGCTGTGTAGACAAGGGGTTGCATTTTCACGACTATCGGCCCGACGGAACGAGCGGATCGCTGGCTTAGACGTGAAGTTTATACCGACGGCGATGAGCTGACGTTGAGAAAACAGCGCAGTGAGCTCGAGGCAGAGACAAAGGCAGTGCGGTCCCAGACTCGGATCTGAATCCTGCTTCTGTCCGTCTTCCGAGACTTTTGGCCTTTGATGCGTTACTTTAATCCCATGTCTGATCCTCTCGCTCCTCATTTTAAAATGTGGACCGTGACATCAACCTCACAGGGCTTTAGGGATCCATGAGGCCACGCGTGCTGACGTGTCAGCGTAGCGGACGGTATGAAGCACTCAACAGGGGAAACTGTCGCTGTAACTGACAGCGAATTGAGCAGCGACAGCGATTCCCACAAGCTGCCGGTTTCCACTGTGTGGGGACAAGGCCCTCGGACACTAGGTTCCACCCAGTCCAGTCTTCCCATGGTGTTCCTTTGTCATGTGGCTAAAGTAAGTTTTCAAGTAATTTTTAATTTTTTTAGACTGAGCAAAACTCCAAGATGCATATTTGCTTTAAACACTTCAGAGTTTTTAAAAATATAATATAAGCAGGTTTTATAAGTTTAATCACTTTTATTTTAATAAAATTTCACAGGCATCGATTTTGCTTCCCCTCAGTGAACAGTGGCAACAAGTCAGTGAGAATATTATTGCTCGAGAGCACGAAGAATTCTCAAAGTTGTGAACGTGTGCAGTTGGGACACATGGCAGTTCTGAATCCAGATTTCTATCACAGTCTCCCATGTGGGGCTGATGTTGCTAAGAATGTGCACCTCAAAACCAGACAGCCTGGGTTCAAATCCCCGCCCTGGCCCTTATGAACAGGTCGATCTGGCGGAAGATTTTTAGTCTCTCTCCGTTTCTCTTTTCTTGTTCGTGAAATGGGAATAGTAGGAGTATTTTGTCCATAGGGTTGCTGGAAGGAGCGAATGAGTTAGCATATGAGAAATGCTTAGAGTCCCACATGGAGTACATATTCAATAAACATCGCTGTTCTTATGGCTGTTGTTACGTTGTTATGAAATTAATTTTAGGATTGTTCTGGGATCTATATATTCATTTCTAAAATTACACAAATAAAATGGCTTTCGGTTTGCATTGTTGGCCTTCAAATGGATACTTGCCTCTTGAAGTTGCTAGGAAAATTCCTAATTCTGACATAACTTAAAATTCCCTTTCAAAAGATGTCTGCTGAAACTAAAAGTATGAGTTAATATTCATTCCCAACTTACTAAAATATAAAGATTCTGGAACGGGTCTTTCTGTAATTCATAGAAATCTGTGCTTCTTTTCATCACAGGGCAGCGTTACTATGGGAACCCGTGCTGCCTAGATTGGCATCTGCCGTGTTAACCCTGCCCCAGCCCCTGCTCTGGGATTTACCCTCACCCACACTTGACCATTTACTTCTTCTTGTGTCCGTCACTTTGACAACTTCTCTGCCCAGCTGTGACCTTCTGGTTCTTCAGCCTTTCCTGAATTACTTGCTTCTGCCTTCTGCCTTAGGCTTGCAGATTTTCCTCTCTTTCAATTGAATGTAGCATTTTACTAGAGATTTCGTCTTGCCCGTTGTTTGGTTCTCAGTGCCTTTGGCTGACTTCTGAAGGGTCCCTCCCTTCTCTTTCCACTGTGGCTCCTTTAAATCCCACCCTGACCCAACAGACTCATAGGCGATGCGGTGGACACTCTAAAGTTACCACCACCGTTCTCTCCATGGGAGCCAGGAGCTAGCTGGACAACGTGGACTCCCCGGAGCGGGCAGGCGTTTGCTGCAATGGTCTGTTGGCTGAGGGCAGTTACCTTCCCTGAGCTGGGCGGAAGTGTGGTGTCGATTTACACCCTCTCCCCTGCTTCCTCAGTCAGAGAAATTCAGAGGCAATTCCTGGGAAATCTCAGACTTTGTTCTATGACATTAATCATACGTGGACTGTCATTGACCAAGGTCAAGGGTGAGTGTGGGGCCATCTTTCTCAGTAATAGGTGAGTCTCTGAGGAAGGGAGCCTCGCCTGCTGCTAGGGGCACAGAGATGGGACGCTTAGCTGTTTGGGAGAGGATCTGGCCTTGTAAATCACCAGGGGGATACCTGACCTGCCAGCTCCTCCCTGAGTCCCAGGGCGGGAAAGAATTCCTAATCAATGCCTGAGGCCCGGTTTTGAGAAGCCCTGGGAGGGGCCATCTTATTTGTTTGTTTTTGCTTTCAGTGAATTAACTTCAGTGGCTAAACCCCTTCAATCTAGTTGTTCATGCACAAAGGACCAGAGCATGGCTTTTCCCCACTGGTTCCTTGGGTCAAAGTATGGGGGTGAGAATTGTCCCTGCTTTTGGAGTCCGATTATAAGTTAGAGCTTGTCCTAAGGCTATGTGTGCGCTCCAAACACATCTATTCTTTGGTGTATTGCTGGGGACTTTAACACATTAATCAGTAGCAGCTTATGACAGTAGCTTATGAGACCTTCCAGATTTCCATCTGGGGACCCTCTGTTCTAGGTCTCATGGGACTACTTTTCATTTTTAATACTCTCTGACCTCTTAGGCCCAGTTCATAGATTCTGACATTTAATGAGTTTAAACTGTAGTTTGGGCTCCAGGAGGATTATAAATGAAAAAGACAAACGAACGATGAAATAACAACAGCAAAACTACATTCCAGATTTCTCGAACAGTTTCAGTGCTGACCAGTGCTCTTTACCTTACGCAACATCCGTGATACTTCCCAACTACGGATGAGCAGGACTGTCTAGAGGACCTTACACTTGTGTTTGTGATTTTTCCTGACTTGAGATAAGTGGAAAGGAATGCCATTTGTTTGTATTTCACAAAAAGTTCTGTTTTAAGAAAGCAAAGGTGACCTTATAACCCCCAAGGACTGCTGCCGGCAATTGTATATTATGTTCTCGTATTTCTGCATTTTGCTGCACTGGAAAGATGTATAATGCGGTGGCTTCGGCACAAGCGGCTCTGTTTGCCTGGAATCCCCCTTCTCACTCTTCAGCTTTGTTGGGTCCTCTCATCCTTTAAGACCTGCCTCCTCCGGGAAAGTTTCTCTGACTCTCTCGGGTAAATTTAAGCATTCGTTCTGTGTGTTTTTCTGCAATGTCGTACATGCTTCTTATCACGTTACTGGGATGGTTGTTTCTGCGGCATATCTGTACCTACTAGGCGCAGATCGTCACTCTTATTTATCTCTCTAGTTGCATCTCTCACCACTTCCTCTCCTTGTATCCCTCAGTTCTTGTTTTCTGAACCCACCTCAGTCTTTGTCACCTCTGTCAATAGAATTGTCCTCTTCTTTTTAACATCCTTCTCCCTCCCACCCTGGCCTTCGGCTTGGATAACCACTTTGCACCCTTAAGACTTAATTTGTCTGTCTCCCCAGTGAAGCCTTCCCACAGCCCCCAGGGCTGGGCCGAGTGCCCCTCCTGAACCTTGCCACGGGCCCTTTGCCTTTCCTGTTATAGCACCTAATACGCTGATCTAATTGTCCATTTGTCTGTCTCTCCCGCTGTTCTGTACGTTCTTTGAAGGCAGGGCGTGAGTGATTCTTCTCTGGTTCCCCAGCTCCTCACTTATTAGTGCCTGGATGTTAATGATTTATTGAGTGAACACACCGGTGAGGGCCAGCCTAGCATAGCGGAGCTCAGTCTCAGAAAGGCCTTCCACCTTACACACTGATTTTCTATGCTATTTGGCAGTCACTTACTTTCTCTGATTTTCATTTCCTCACCTGAAAATAGAGATCACCATATCTTCCTAGGACTGTTTTAGGATCACCTGAGGTTGGTGATGCCCAGCACTGGAAAGACAGCAGCGCTCAAAAAAGCCCGAGAAACATAAGTTTCCTTTTTCCTTCCTGCTAAGCAACATCGGTACTCTTCTGAAAACACTTGAGTTCGTAGTTCTTATTTATTCGCGACTGATGTCATTCTTCAAAGCCTTCATCAAGTAAGCCAGGTCATCTTTGTACTCTGACTGTTCGCCCTAAAGCTTTCCATACAGATGCCAGGCAGC